CTCCTCCTCCTCCTCCTCCTCCTCCCTCCTCCTCCTCCTCCTCCTCCTCCTCCTCCTCCTCCTCCTCCTCCTCCTCCTCCTCCTCCTCCCACCCCCCGGCTCTTTTTCTAGGATCTGGAGTTTTCGAGCAATGCTGCGCAGGGGCGCCCGCACGGTCTTCGATGCTGGCAGATCGCCGAGGCTCTTTGTGAGGAGCTGCGGCCCCGCCGCCGTCCCGCGCAGTAGGCGCTCCCTGCATGCGCGTGGAGCGGTTTCGGCGCCCGTGTTCCGTCCACCGGTCCCCCGTAGCTCTCGGCCGACAGCCTGGGCCTCCGACGGCCGCCCGGGACAGTTCCGGCCCCCCGTTTGGCCGGACCCCGGGGGCCTCCACGCGCAGCGGGCCCCCCGAGGCCCTCGAGGCCCAGACCACCCGCCCTCCTCATCATCCTCCTCCTCCGCCTCCTCCTCCTCCTCATTATCATCATCATCATCATCATCATCCTCCTCCGCCTCCTCCTCCTCATCCTCCTCAGTCTCCTCCTCCTCCTCCTCCTCCTCCTCCTCCCCCGAAAGGTCGAGATCGTGCTTGCCGAAATGCTAGGGGCAAACGCGGGTCACCGCGGAAACCTCCCACTGCCATGCCGTAGCCAGACTGGACAAAAAGTCCATGTTTGAGCCCGGCATGCAAAGATATTGCAGCGTTGGTGTCTTCGAGTGCATGTGCACGGGGTTGACGGAGCCCTCGCCCACGCTCTTGGACGCTTCGCTTCATCGGTTTACGACTCGGGCCTCCGGCGGCCGTTCGGGACGATTCGGGCGCCCTCGACGGGGCGCAGACGATGGGAAGCATCCCCAGGCGAGAAAACCTCCAATGACCAACAGCAGCGTCGTTTCCCCCTGCACCTTCGACAACGATGCGGTCGATAACTTTGGGGCAGCGTGTCGCTGCGCGGGTTCTGGCCCACCATACTTTTCCGCGATACGCTATCCATTTCCGAGCACCCAGGCTTCATCGCCCCGGGCTTCTCCGAGCCTCCCGCCCCGCGAAGTCGAGTGGCATGCTGTCCGCTTGCAGGGCATAGCGTGCCACTGGAGCCGCCGCGGCGGCACGCTATCCAACAGTTCTCGACCGTAGATCGGGCGAAGGGAACTATGCACATGCACCGATCCTGGCAAGGCCCATCCTTGACCCAGGATCGGTGCATATGCCTTCCTGCCCAAGGTAGGAGGGCGTATGCACCGATCCTGGGCTCAGGATGGGCCTGGCCAGAATCGGTGTATGTGCATAGTTCTTTTTTCTCTAGTAGATTCCCCGAGGACTTTCCCAACTCGGCCGGAATCATGATGCCGATGCTCATCATCGGGACGGGCTCCGTACCGCCCCGAGCCGCGCCCGACCCGGGCGCGAAGGCGAGCAGCCCGCTGGCAGCTGGCACGGCGGTCGCAGGCCTTGCTCGTGTTTTTTGTTTTGCTCTGCACTGGTCGTCCACGAGGGGCTCGGGGCAGTGTTCGCAGCTTCCTCCTCCTCCTCCTCCTCCTCCTCCTCCTCCTCCTCCTCCTCCTCCTCCTCTTTTTCGTGGGGTAAGCAATGGCATAAAGTGAACTTCCAGAGGCCCGCGCGGATGTCTCGGGTCGGCGCTGGGGCCCCCTGGCGGCGCCTCCGGCACCGCCCCTGGCGCGCTCTGCGCGCCGGGGCAGGGGGGTCCGGCGCCGATCCGAGGAATCCGCGCGGAGCTCCAAAAGGTTCTGTCTGTGCTGGTGTTGGATCCTCTGTGCTTCGATGTCCTCGCGCCCCGGGGTGCCTTCCAGCAGCTGCGCCCCGGCGAGAGCTTCCCCGGGGTGCCCGACTCGTCCCGAGCGGCCGGAGGCCCGAGTCGTAACCCGGTGCGCCGAGTCGTCGCGCAGGGGGCGGGTCCGGGCGGGCTCAAACATAGCCTTGCCCAGAGTGGTCGCAGGCGGCGACGGGGGCAAATAGCCCGGGGGCGGGCATCACTCGCACTCGCACGGGAGCCTCGCCGAATACATGGGGCATGGACATGGACCATCGGCGCCCCTGGATACATGTATTGGTCTCCCCTGGGCTATTCGCCCCCATCGTCGCCCTCGAAATGGCCACGGTATTCAAGTGGGAAGTTTCCCGGTGGCCCGCGTCCTTTCGGGGCGGGTGGTTTGGGCCTCGAGGGCCTCGGGAGGCCCGCTACGCTTGGAGGCCCCAGGGTCTGGCGCGGCGTGGGGCAGCAGGACCCATTCGACCATCGAGGTGGTGTCCACAGCTTGTGATTTTTCTGCCGTGTCAACGGAGACGCCTGCAGCGAACCACCACTGATGTCTGCATTTTGGACACGCCCGTGCGATGCCTCTCTGAACCGACTTGGAGCCCTCGTTGGGCGCTTCAGGGCCATCTTGGAGGCCATATCTTGGACATCTTGGAGGCCTCTTGGGCCGCCTTGAGGCCCTCTTGGGACCGTCTTGGGGCCTCTGGGGCCGTCCTGGGGTCATCTTGGAGTCCTTTGGGGCCATCTTGGGGTGATCTTGGGGGCCTCTTGATCCGTCTTGCGCCGTCGGAAGATATTGAATAAGCAAAGGACAGAATCCTTCTTCAACAACCCAAGGAACATCAATGATGTTGGCCTCTTCGGGCCTGCTGGATGACCTCTTGGAGGCCTCTTGGGCCGTCTTGGGGGTCTCTTGGAGGCCTCTGGGGCCGCCTTGGGCCGTCTTGGAGGCTTCCTGGGCAGATTTGGACGCATCTTGGACTCTCTTGGGCCATTTTGGGCCGTCTTGGAGGCCATCTTGGGTGTCTTGCAGGCCTCTTGGGCTTCTTGAGGCGTCACGGGGTCATCTTGGAGGCCTTTGCGGCCGCTTTGGGACGATCTTGGGGGCCTCTCGGGCCGCTTTGGACTGTCGGAAGGCCGAAAAGAAGCAAAAGGTACAATCCTGGGGAAACCATCGGTTAATCAATGATGTTGGCGTATTCGGGTCCTCCTGGAGGACACCTCGGCTGCATCTTGGGCCGTCGTGGAGACCTCTGGGGGACCTGTGGGGTCGTCTTAGGCCGTCTTGGAAGCTTCTCGGGAGGTCATGGACGCATCTTGGACTCTTGGGCCGTGTAGGAGGCCATCCTGGATCATCTTGGGCGAACTTGGTGGCCATCTTGGCCGTCTCGGAGGTCATCTTGGGGCATCTTGGAGCCATCCGGAGCGGGGAAGCCCTTGCCAACCACCCCGCCCAGAGCTTTCCGGGTGGCCGGCACAATGAGCCGAAACCACAGGGGGGTTCTTGAAAAGAACCAAAGACCTTCAAGAAATCTGGCGCGCCAGGCATCCCTGTGATAAATCAACAGGGGGGGGCGGATCTAGTGGCATTCGGAGCATTCGGCCATTGTGCCTGGGAAAAGAGCCGGTGGCCTCTTGGATGTTTGTGGGGATCTCTGGGGAGGTATCTCGGAAGCCTCTTGCAGGCTTCCTGGAGTTTGACTTGGGCCTTTTGGGGTCTTCCGTGGGCTTGGGGGAACCTCTTCTTGGGAGCCTGCTGACAGTCTCGTGGGTCATCTTAGGGCCGAGGGCTCGAAATCTCAGTTCCCGTGCCCCCTCTTGGAGCTATTATGAGGCCTTCTTGGGGCCTTCTTGGGCCGTCTTGGGAGCATCTTCGGCCAACTGGGGGCCCTCTTGGGCCGTCTGGGGTCCATGTTGAGGGCCTCCTGGGCCGTTTTCGGGCGATCTTTGGGGCCTTATTGGCCGTCCTGGAGCGTGGGAAGCTTGAACATACAGGAACACAACATCATTCCAAAAACCTGAGGGCAATCAGTGATTTTGCCTATTAGAGCCCTCTGGGGCTTCTTGGAGCCCTCTTGGGTCGTCTGGGAGATTGGGCCATCTGGAGGCCATCTTGGCGTCTTGGAGCGCTCTTGGTCCGTTTCGGAGCCCTCTTGACCATTCTCGGGGGCATCTTGGAACCCTCCAAAAAAGTTTAGCGACAACACGTCCGGCCCCTAGGTATTCAATCATGAGGGCAGGACGGAGAACTCAAGGGACCTGAGGACACAGGACACTCCAACCCGTGCCTCGCGGCACGGGCCTGCAGTTGTATCGTGATGGGTGTTGATTCAAAATGGTAGAGGCATTCAGTTATTCTCGTGATGGCTGGCAATACAAAAGCGGAGGCCCCGTCGACGCCCATGGCGGTGTGCGAGGCGGAGAGAGGGGTCTGGACGCTCTGGACGTGGACGTGGAGGGTGACGCATTCTTCGAGGCTTGGGTCGGACGAAGGGGGGGGGAGATTGGACAATGGGAGGTTGCGAAATCTGCTGCGCGCAGGGTTTCGACCCCGCCGACGGGCGCTTTCCTCGATGCGTTGGCGCCTCTGGCGCCGAGAGGCGCCGGGAAAAACAGCCGCGCGAGCTATCTCGCTAACATTACCCTCCGTTGCTGTCCCCCTCACATGCCGCGAGAGAGAGAGAGAGAGAGAGATTGGGGGGAACGACTTGTCCGCTTTTGTCTTCGCTCGCATTTGCATGACCATGGCAAGCATCGCTTCATGCTTTACATTATGTGGCCGCAGTCGTCTGGGGGCGAAACGCGTCGTCTTTGATCAAGCCCCGAAGCGCAGGGATCCTCATCAAAGTTCGCGTATCGCGCCCCCCCTTTGCTGTCCCCTCTGTTCGTCCAATCCGAGAGGCGAACTGCCACATGGTCGACTCGCTCATCCGTGCGACCCGCGGCACGCCCTACGCGCTTACGGTGGAGAGCTTCGTGAGTGCGACGTTCCACGAGGAGGACTCCGAGGGGGGCGTGGAGTGCATGGCGCCCGGTCAGGGCCGGCAAACCGATTCGCACGCACGTCGGAGAAGAAGAAAAAAAAAAGCGGCATAAACAGAAATGGTCAGAGGTCCGCGCGGGTTTCTCGGATCGGCGCTGGGCCCCCCTTGGCGGCGCCTCGCCTCGGGCGCCGCCACTGGCGCGCTCCGCGCGCCAGGGAGGGGGGTCCAGCGCCGATCCGAGAACTCCGTGCGGAACCTCGAAAGTGTTTCTGTTTGTGACGTTTTGTTCTTCTTCTGATCTGGGCACCCCCAGGGTCGAAAATCGCTGAACAAGCAACGGGGGCTCAGATCCCCTACGATATGAATTGTTCAATCCCAGCGTGGTTCCTCCATTTCGGGTCTGTGACCCGATACTGGGACCATCGGAAATGGATCCGCGGGAAGAAAGACTACCCCGGGGTGAGGTGTCGGGACCTCTGGGGCCGCGCATTGAAAGAATCGCATCGTTGGATATCTGGGAGGGGGGTCAAGCTTGAAAGGCGATCGGTTGAGGCTGGTCGGCTTGCTCAAGCGGATTCTGGGCGAGCTTGGGGCGAGCTACTGGGGAAATTGCCGACTGAGACGGTCTTCCAACTTGTGCGTGTTCAGGCGTTCGAGAAAAACATGGAGTCCCCCCCCGACCCTGGTCTCACCCTCCTGAGCTTGAAGGCGCGCAGGGGCGAGCACGGGGAAAGAGGGGGGGGATGAGGGCAGCGTCGATGGCGGGTGAAGTTGGCGATGAAGCCACGGTGGGGGGCACGATGGGGGTGGGCGTCGAGTTTCGGGGATCGAGGGTCAAGGATCGAGGATCGGGGTTCGAGAATTGGGGGTCGAGCATCGAGGTTCGAGGAACGAGCTTCGAGGATCGACGTTCGAGGATCTAGGACCAGAGGTCGAGGATGCAAGGATCGAGGATGCCGTAGGATCGAAGAGGCTGACGGTGGGGACGGGAGAGCCGAAGAAGTCAACACGGCTAAGCAGAAATGTTCGGAGGTCCGCGCGGATCCCTTGGAGCGGCGCTGAACCCACCTCCCTAGCGCGCCAGAGGCGCCGCCAGAGGCGCCGCCAGAGGCGCGCCGCCAGGGGAGCCCAAGCGCCGATCCAAGAGGTCCACGCGAACCTCAAGTTTTCGTTGGTGAGAAAGTACACCTTGGGCGATGCTTAAGAAAACTTCAATTTTCGGCCAGAGTCTCGATTATTCTTAGTGTTTCGATGTACATCCTAAGATTTTCAATAGAATGTTTGGGTTTTTATTCAAGTTCTGAGACTATGAATTTCTTAACCCATGATTTCTTAAGCATTTCGCAGGGTGTAGTTTTGCTTCCTTTTCGGGAGGCTGGAAGATCGGAGCGGAGAGGCCCCGGGGGGGGAGGGCGCGGCGGCGGCGAGCGGCGGGGAGAAGCGTGGGCGGGGGGCCGCGCGGTCTGCCCAAGATCTGATCAACGCGATCCGCACCAGCTACGTCTCGAAGAATGTGCTGCTGACGCACACGGCGGAGAACCTGCAGCGGCTGTGGGATCAGCTGGTCAGCCAGGACACACATTCCCAGAGCTCCGACCGTACGCTTCATGCAATCCCGGCGTTTTGCTCCCCGACGTTTCATGTAATCCCGGCGTCTTGTTCCTCGATCCCGGCCACTGGAGCCCGTCATCCTGCCGCGGGGCAATCAAAGACAGGTCGGGGGCTGAAGATTGTCCCTGGAGGAGGGGACGGGACCTCCATTCACCACCCACCAAACCACCCCAACCCAACCCGAAGGCCCCAATTTATCCTCGATTTCCAGTGGGGGGGGGTCGTGGAACATCGGGGAAACACGTATGGAACCCGTACCCCCCCCAACCCGAAATTCGGGTCTTCGGGTTGGGTTGGGGTGGTTTGGTAGGTAGTCATCCATGGACCGGGCACTGAAGCAAGGGACATCGTCAGACGGCCGGGTGCAGGGCGTCGAGCTGCGAAGGGCGAGAGGGGGCCAGTGGCGGGGCCGCGCGTCCGGCGTCACGAGTTTCGCCGTGCCGCTGGCCCCCTTCCACCGGGGCCTACTCTCCGTCACGGACCGCTCCTTGATGGGCTTGGTTTCCACCACCACTACCATAGGTCGGAGGGAGAGGTCCTCCTCCTCCTCTTCGTTCTCCTCCTTCTCCTTCTCCAACATATGGTAGTGGTGGTGGAAATCAGTCCCATCACTCCTTGCTGGTCCCGAACGATTTGGAACGCCCCAGGGAGGCCCCGAACGGGAGGAAGCCAGCAGTGCAGGTTTGCTCGTTCGAAGGGCGGGTGGCCAGGGCGGAGGCGGTCCGCTGCCTTCGCCGCGCCGTGCTCGACTATTGCTGTGGACAGCCGCCGAGTTCTGCCTTCGGGCACGTGGTGCGTGCAAGTGGTATCGGAGATGCGCCACCCATTTCTGCCCAGCAGCGCCTCCCTTTGCAAAGCCAGCCTGAGGCTGCGGATATGGACAGTCGTGCAGTCTCTGAGCGTTCTGGCCGTTCTCTCGGCCGCTGGGTCCCAGGCCCCGCCTGCCGCTCCCCCTCTCCCAGCTGGATGACTGACCCCTCCAGCTGCCCAGGACGGCAGTGCCATGCTCACGTTCGCCTTCCCCGACATGGATCCGTTCAGTGCGGACGCCTTCTCGTTGACGGGCGTGGTCCAACCTAACATATAGATATACAAATTATACACATCCATACCTACATACAAACATACATACATACATACATACATGCATGCATGCATGCATGCATGCATACAGTTTCGCATTTTCTGTATATGCAAATGCGCTTGAATACGTAGATGTGGCTGCGCACGTACATGTAGATGCACATGTATGTGTAGCTGTAAATGTACGCGTGCACGTAGATGTCCGTAACCACATATGTAGATACATATAGATACACATCTATATACATATGTCTGGACATGTGTGTACATGTGTGCATCTGCACAAACTCAGGCCCGGGGGCCATCAAAAATGACATGTGACCACCAACTGTTCCCGGGAAAAGGGTCGAGTCTGGGGCCAGCGCTTCCATTTGTACACGTACATACGCACACATTTTTCTCAGACGCGGCGGTGACAGCATTCACCGAGGACAGCTACGGGTCACGCTCGCAACAAAGCGGCCACTTTGTGTGGAGACCGTGCACTAGACCGGAAGCCCCAGGAAGGGCCAGGCGAAGAGCGTGACCTGCGAGCAGCTTGGCTGGATGCTCGCAGGCAAAAGAAAGTGCCAAGGGGCGGAAGCGAAGCAGGCCGAACCAGAGAATGTATGAGATAATTACATACAGACGTATTCTAGTGGCCTTCGGCCAGAGCCGCCGATCCGGGTCGCTTGGTGTGCCCACCAGACTGGGCGGCGACACTTCGTCGACAGACACGCACGCACACGCTCGCAGACATTACGCGCACACACAAACAAACACGCACACGCACACACACACACACAGACACACACACACACACACACCACACTCACACACACGCGCGCCACCTTCGCAGGCACATACACACGCACACGCCAGCAACACGCACACACACACACACACATACACACACACACACCACGCACACCGCACAACACACACACACACCACTAAACAGACACGCATTTCACCGCCACCTTCGTCTTCCCCCCCCATTTGTTCCCCGTTTTCCGCTCTTGGCCCGTTCCACTTTTCTCTCCCTCTTTCCCCGATTCCCTTCTCGCGTACACGGACAAACAGTACCCCACGCACACGCGCACCCCCCCCCCTTCCCCGCCTGCCCCGGCAGAGCCACCCCGGCAACCCCCCGAGGCTGAAGCTCAGCCTCGAGGCTGTAGCTGAGGCTCCTTCAAACGCGCACGCCACGGAACTCCCCCTTTCCCTCCCCGACGCCATCGGAACCCACGCCAGCAGGACCCCCCCCCTCTTCCCCCAATTCACCTTGTCCACAGGCGGGACGGGGGACCGGACCCCCCCACCCCCTCCACGCCACTGGAACCCACGCCACCGGAACCCTCCTTCCCCTACCCCGGCAGAGCCACCCCGGGCACCGGACCCCCCCCCTATCTTCCCCCAATTCCTTTTGTCCACAGGCGGGACGGGGGACAGGACCCCCCCCCCACGCCACTGGAACCCACGCCACCAGACCCCCCCCTCCCCCGACCTCGGCAGAGCCACCCGGGTCACCCCTCCCCCTTAAACTCACACGCCAGATCGGCGGATTTATGTATACACACGCATACACGCCAACGAATAGCGACGACGTCGCAGGTCCGTGAGGCGCTGAAGAACGAGACCAGGATGGCCTCGGCGAAGAGCAATCCGACCAACCCGGGACTCACGTTCACGGTCTTCTCGCCCAGCGCCGTGCTTGTGGACTTCGTCGATGTGACCTCGCGCATGCTGCCCCTCAGCTTCGCGATCTGTGTCTCGCTGATCCTGCTGCTTATCGCGGTGTGGTTCGGGGCAGTCCTGGTGCTCAGGAGCGAAAGAAGGACGTACACGTACATGAATCCACGCTGGTTTCGAGAGTACGCATTGCCCGAAAGTTCGTATCACGCGGCCAGTCTCGCAGATCGAGGGGCCGTGTTCATGTACATAGCTGGGCGCGTACGTCCTTTGTGGGCTCCCTAGGTGCCCATGAAGCTCTTCCTGACCGTCGTCATCCCGATCACCTGGACGTACGGCGCCGCCCTGTACGTGTACGAGGATGGGGCGCTGGCCTGGCTGGGGTGGCCCGCCCTCGCTCCAGTCGGAGACGCCGGGCTCGACTGGAGCGTGCCCGTGATGACCCTGACGTTCATCGTCGGCCTGGCCTTCGACTACGAGATCTTCCTGCTGGAGCGCGTGCGGGAGTTCCGCGAGGAGGGCTTCTCCGACCAGGACCCGGAAGAAACCTGATTTCGATCGGATCGCCAGGCTGTCAGAAGCACCCTGGTTGGCCCGACCTCGATCGGATCGGCAAGCTGTCATAGGCACACTGTATGGCATAGGTGCTCAGCACGTGTCGGGAGGATGGACTCTGGCGCGAGCTCATTACAATCCGATTGAACTCAGATTTCTGCGATGTTTGGCTCCTGGAGGATGCGATTCTGTTCGGGCTTGCCGCCACCAGCGAGACAATTACAGCCGCAGGAATGATTATGGCGTTCACGTTCGCCGCCGAACTCTTGGGAAGCATCCCCGTGAGCAACCAGCTTGGCTTCGTCCTCGTCTTCAGTATCGTGGTCGACACGTTCGTGGTACGTTGCGTCCTGGTGCCTTCGATTCTGTCCATCTAGCGGGCTGAAGTCTCGCCCCCTTGCGGACAATGCCAGTGGCAAGAGGTCGCTTTGCCGGTGGTTCTCCACGGACACCTTCCGGGGTCGTTCTTCCAAGGGCAACCTAAGGACCCACACGTTGGTGCGCAGAGACCCCCAGTGCTTCTGGCCAAGCGAATTCGTGTCCCAACATGCGCCCAGAGGTCCGCGGAGGCCTCCATACCGAGGTCTCGAGAGGTTCCCGGAGGTCTCCAGGGCCCCATGAGGGCCGAGCACGTCTCGTCCTCGTTCTAGTCGTCTTTGGTTGACCGTGCCCGCGGGGGGAACTCGGTGCGGGTTGGGGGCATCGACACAATGCAGCATTTGGTGATCTGAAGCTTGTGAAATATGATACACCCATGAGGAAGGATTGAGACAGCTTTCAGATCCTGGTGGGCTCCATTGTTGTTGTTGTTGCGGTTGGGGGAGACAGCTCTCGTTGCTGACTGAACCCTCTTCGTGTTCTTAGATCCACAGCTTTTCTTGGAGCCGGGGGAGCGATGCCCTGAAGCAGATCGGGAATCTTGGGAAAGCGTGTCGCTGCGCCGGTTCTGGCCCACCACGCTTCGGCGCGGCACGCTGTGCACTTCACGGTCCCTCAGCGTCCACGTCCCCAGGCTTTCCGAGTCTCCCGCCCCGCGGAGTGGAGTGACACGCTGGCCGCCTGCACGGCACAGCGTGTCGCTGGGGCCGCCGGGGCGACACGCTGGGCAAGAGTTCCCGACCGTAGAGGCAGTCATCAAGCATCTATATTGCAGGCTCGCTGTGTGGGCTCTCGGCGGCCACGCTGCCGAAAGCTCTCGGGGGAGCTCGAAGCGAAACTTGAACAACATAGAAGAACGGGGTCGTCTTCACCGAGATTGCTGCGTAAGCTGCCCGCGCAAGCTCGCGCGTGAGCGCTCTCGTTTCCATTGTGGCGTGCCGCGCTGGCGGCCCGCGTAAGCCAGCGCATAAGGTATCGATGCCATCTTGCGTAAGACCCATTTCTTCCCGAGACCGCCAGCGGACCCCCACAAGGCACATAAGAGGCCCCCAGAACCTTCCAACGCGAGGCCCCAAGCAGGCCCCGACCCACACATGAGACGCCGTGACTTGGTCGATGCGGGGCCTTCGGCCGGGGGCGTCCAGGAGGCGGGCGGGGACGAGGTGTGGATATCATGGCCAGGGTCATGAATTCTCCCAGATATCATTGCCCCGTCGTCTTCTCATTTCTTCTTCCGTTGAGAATTATTATTCGTCTTCTACTGAATCTTAATATTCATCTTCTTCTTTCAAGACGTCCCCTTGCCCCCGTCGTCCGAGCACATGCCTCGGGCCATGATGCGCTGATCCCTCTCATCCAGGTTCCCCTCCTCCGGCACACCTGAGAGGGAAACATCTGCCTTGACTCTTTCCCGTACGAGTGAAACCAGTTACGTACGGAAAGAATGGGCACGAACACCGCCAGCGGTTTTTACTAATGTTGAACAGGACGCGTTGTCGGTGTCGCCGCGGGCGTTGCCCATTCGAGACGCAAGTCGAGGCCGCCTGCCCAACAGCGGCCGCTGTCGGTTTTGGACAACGTTTGCTGTTGGGCATCGCACCCACTCGTTCCGTAGCCACCGGGCGCCCAAATCTCGTGCCCGGAGACCCAGGCCCGGGCGGAGTGGCCACCCAGCCCCCATGGGAGCCTCCAGGGGGCCGCTCCCCCAGGGGCACCGGAGCCGCGGCTCGGCGCCCGCGCCCAGCCGGCGCTGGGCCCTGGAAACGACAGGGCTGTTTTTTACCGGTTCCGTTTTGCCGTTTTATTGCTGGTTCCGACGCCGTTTTTTTACCGGTTCCGTCGCCATTTTTTGACCGGTTCCGGCCCCGATTCCGATCCTGGAGCCGGTTTTTTGCCGTTTCCGGTCGCCGTTTTTTTTGCCGTTTCCATTTTCAATGGACATTTTCAGGGGAAATTGTGAAAAAACGGCCCTGCCGTTTCCGGGGCCCACAAAGGGAAATGGTCCGTCACCCCGATCCAGGCAGCCTTGGTCGTGGACGCTTCTGGCCCTGCCTGGGCCTCATGGAGCCCCCCAGGGAATCTCCCCCCAGACATGCGAAGCCCTGCGTTTTTTCGCGCGGGGTCCCCGGAAGCCTCGACCCCTTCCTCGCGGGGCCAGTTGCGCGTCGCGAGTCTCGTTTCTTGGCGGCCCCAGGGCCCAGCGAGGGCCCCGGGAGGCCGAAGACGGCCCAGAAACGCTCCTCCCTCCTCCCTCCTCCCTCCTCCCTCCTCCCTCCTCCCTCCTCCCTCCTCCCTCCTCCGCCCTCCGCCCTCCGCCCTCCGCCCTCCGCCCGAGTTCTGTCACGACGCCAGCACGTTTGGGTCTGGAGGCCTCTCGAGGCCCTCTGCTCGCCCGGTGCCCCACGGCGGCCTGCGGGCTCCGGGCGGGGCGCCCCTCCTCGCTTATCGAGGGGCCGCGGTGGCAGACATGCTCGCGTCGTGAGCGACGTCGAGCGGGGGGGGACAAGGAGAACATGCTCGCGCCGTGAAAGCGTCGGGACGGAGGGTTTCTCCCGCTTTTCGGCCTCTCGGGGTCCTCGCTGCGCCCCGGGGCCGTCAAAAAGTTGTCCGGGATGAAAACCTGCCCCTGGTAAAGGGGTCGGGACTTGAAGAGGCCCCGCGCTGAAAATATCAGAACATCGCATGTGTTTCAGCCATGCGCAGATGGGGGTGACTTGGGTGGGGTGGGAAGGCTTCTTAGAAGAAGGCTGCTTAGAAGGCGCAGGCCTTGTCTGTAGATAAAAAGGCCTGCGCCTTCTAAAAAGCAGCCTCCTTCTAAGAAGCCTTCCCCTCTCCCCCTACCCCCGTCTGCGAGCGGCCAAGGCTGGGGTCGGAATAAGCATATTGTGTTCGTGGCCCTGTCTCACGGGCCGTGAGATTTATCTGATCCTCTGCTGGTCATCCGTTCGGCACGAGGACCGCCTCGACTCCGTATCCAGCCACCCCCCCATCCCCCGGGCATCGGATATTTTCCGAGGCTTGTCCGGGTCCCCCGGGCCCGGTCTGCCACTCTGCGAGCCTGTGCGTCCGCCCTCCACAGCGAGATGTCGGCCCGCTTCCCGTCGGGTCCCCGCTGAACTTCTGGCCATCCCGCATGCCCAAGCCGCACGTCAGCGGAGGGAGGAGAAGCGGCGCCACACCTTCGAGCAACAGAAGAGAGGGAGGAGGAGGAAGAGCGAGGAGGAGGTGGAGGAGGAGTAGCGAGGAGGAGGAGGTGGAGGAGGAGTGAGGATGAGGAGGCGGAGGAGGAGAAGCAGGAGGAGGAGAGGAGGAGGAGGGAGGAGGAGGAGGGGGAGGAGGAGGAGGAGGAGGAGGAGGAGGCTGCATACGAGTCATTGCTGCTCGGAGGTCCGCGCGGGTTTCTGGGGTCGGCGCTGGGCGCCCCTGGCGCGCCCCGCGCGCTAGGGAGGGGAGTCCAGCGCCGATCCAAGAAAGAGGAGGAGGAGGAGGAGGAGGAGGAGGAGGAGGAGAATCCGCGCGGACCTCCGAGAGAGTGTGTTCATGTAGCGCTGTGCTCCTCTACGCCTGGGCGGCGCAGGACAGCGGGGCCGTCGTCGAGGACACTGGCGCCGAAGCTGCCCGCGCAAGAGCCCGCGTGAGTGCCTTCGTTTCCAACGTGGTGTGCTACGCTGGCGGCCCGCGTACACCCACCAGAAAGCTTGTGAAACACCTAAATTCCCTTGTACTCCAGATTTCGCTCATGAGTCTCAAAAATCTGGACTGGATCCTGTGCGTTTTTCCTTAGAGCTCCCCATTCGCAGTAGTTTCGTATACCTGGACCTGGACTACTGTTGAAGAGAGCGCTCAGAGTGAAGTCCATTTCCTCAGCTCAGAACTTTCTTGACCAAGCAGGGGTGTAAGCCAGCGCCTAAGGTCTCCGTCGCTCACCCAGCGGCGCGGGCCGACAGGCGCTATCCCGAACTTGAGATCGGAGATGCCTCGATCGGGGCGCCAAGAAGCAGCAGCGCCAGAAGATCACTGCTTCTTGGAGCCGCCTAAAAATCCGAGGCGACCCAGCAGTGGTTCCGACCAGCGAGAAGGGCGGGCAGGTTCGAGGGTTCGGGTTCGGAGATCTCGTTTTGGCCTTTTTCGGCCTCGGGTGGCCCTCTTTGGGCCCGGGACCCCGCGAAAACTGAACAGGGGTGAAAAACTGCACCAGACGGACCCATCCCTCATTCCCTCCTGCGCCCCCCTTCCTGACCGATTTTTCTTGGGGCCCATCCACTTCAGGCCTCCCGGCCGCCTTAAAACGACTTCTTGCCCGTGGCGCCGCGGAAGGCCTCCATACACCACCATTCGAAGACGGGCGCGAGAGCGCAATGATGATCGCACATCGCGGGGCAAACATGATCGCGCATCGCGGGGCGCGATGCGCGAAAATAGGGGGTCCAGCGCAGATCCAAGAAATCTGCGCGGAACGTCGAAAGTTTATTCATGCCGTTGGTTTCTTCCTCTTGCCACCGCCACCACACTTGGCCAGCGCCACCTTGGGCCCCAGGATGGTGCGTCGACCCTCCTGGCCTCGGCCAGAAAGACACATACACCATGCCAGGGCCCAGGATGACTGGCCAGGCATGGTGGTGGTGTACGGGTGCCTTGTGCGAAAGTCGAGGTACAGCAACAACACAACACGGATTTTCGGAGGTGCATGCCAATCTCTGTCGGTACCGGACCCCGCCTGGTGGCGCCTCTGGCGCGCGCCAGGGGGAGGGGGGGTCAGCGCCAAGCCAAGAATTCCGCCCAGACCTCCGAGAGTTTTCACGTTTGTCGCGTGATTCTGTCTTCCAATATTGGTGCTATGCGTCACCTGCGGCGATCCGAAGATGACCACGGTTCGTGTGTCGCGGTCTGGGCCAAAGCGGCTGCCCTTCTCCGAGGGAGCGGCGCGATGACCTGAAGATAGTCGCGCTTCGCGGGGCGCGAGC